GGGCCCACCCTATGGATGTTGAAGCAAATTCCTCTGTCATTCAGAGTGGTCTCCAGTGTCAGTTTAGCAAAGATGTAGCACTCCTCCCCAAATGAAAACCTCTGAGATTTGCACAAATATCTAGCAGTTGTTTGTCACATCAGCAAATTTGTCACATCTGTATGCTGCATTTACTAGACTGTTTTACATGAGAAGTCTTGTTAATCTGGGTCCCTTCTAGAAGCTGTGGGGAGAGTTCAGGACAGTGATTATACTGAATTGTTTCTAAGATGCCAGTCTTTCTTCTTTGTTTACAGAAGGAGCCTTCAGTAGACAAGTTGCTGGCTTATGCAGCAGATTTTGGTTTTAGTGTGTTAAAACTGGTTGAACCATTCCATTGTTCTGGATTTACAGAATATAGCTGGAGCCCAGAGCTGGGCTCTAAGAGGCAAAAGGTAGAACCTTAGAGGTATGTGGAGGAAGATGCAAAGTTGTTTTCAAGCCACTTCTGCAACGTTAGGAGTCTCTGCCCTCCTCTGAGGTCTGCACAAGGGCCTGAAATGATCCAGCCTTCCCAGTGCAGTTTTATCAAAGGTATCCTCTCACCGCCCTTTCTGGTATGTTTAAACCACCCTTGTTGCAGTACAACAATTTTGCAGAGGGATTGAACCCCTGGGGAAAACCCCTCCCCAGCTTTTTAGCTGGTACTAGAAATTAGACAGAGGCCTGCAGCTTTTCACTGTTGTGAGTAAAAATCCATGTGTGCCTATCTGTCAGGAGACGGTTTGAAAATGTATAAGGAAAGGAGATAAAAGAAGTTTCTGCCCTGATGCATCTTGGTTTTCTTGCTTTTATACAGCAGATATCCCTTCTGTCACTAAGGCTGTCTCAACTGTGAGTTATGGGACAAGTAGTGGAACAAAAACTGATGAAAGGTATGCATTTTTCTTGATATTTTGTTAAACCATTGTGGTCAGTATAGTCTCAAGGGACAGGTGATCTGCTGGCTTGAAGAACAGGTGAGTCCCAGATGCTGTATTTTAAGGCTATTAAAGGTTGTAAGTTTTCCTGAGGGATAAGTGAACAAGATATGGGAAGGTATAAAACTGTTTTGTAGAGCAGTTTCAAAAAAAAAAAAATTGTGGATTTCAGTGTTGTTACAGTGTTGGTCAATAAAACTGTCAGTGCTAGCAGTGGATTATTGCTTGGAGGAAAAGTTGTCAGGCCTTTGAAAACACTTTCAAAAATACTCAGCTGTGCTGAAATTTGTACTTTGGGCATATTTTTAGAAACCAACATATGGCTGCTGTCAAATGTCCTGAGTTTGGCTAGCCTAGAGTTTATCTTGTAGAAAAGTGCAAGAGGACTACTACACATTCTTGATTAACTTGGAGTTGCAGTTGCTTTGTATAGGATTACACAGTACCGCGATTACTACTGGCCTATACTGGCATCCACAGCATGCAAAATATCCAGCAAGAAAAATGAGAGGGAAGCAAATTTAAATCTCTTAAATTTGGCTTGCATCTGCCTTGAAATTATCCCAAATTTGGCATTAAGTTTCATGTGAGTTAGTTCCACCATCAGCGCTTTGATATTCGAGTCATAATACCCTGAGCACCCTAGAGAACTTTTTGTCACATCTGCCTTCCATCTGTATCAGAAATCAATGTGTGACACTGATATCATTGCTCTTTGCCTCAGTATCCCCATCTCTGTCATGAGGAACATTTCCAGATGTGATCTGTGACTTCATTAATGCTGATGAAGTGGTTTATGGCTCAATTAAACACAAATTAGAATGTAATCCTATATTTCTGGATCATATTAACAGCTTGCAGTCAGCGAAGCAACACTGACATGAGCTCAGGATTCTGTGTACTATAGGTAAAAATTTCAGAATTCCTGAATTACTCCTCAAATTCCATTTATAAAATTTTACCTACCCTCCAGGAACCCCAATGCTGGAAATTAAAGGGATCTAGTGCTTCTGTGTGGCTGCAACTTTCTTTTTTCTTTGTTTTCTTAAAGGTATTTAATTGTTGTTCTACTCAGTGCTACAAAGCATTTATGACTTGTCAAGATATGCCTTATTTGTAAAAGCATCTTAGACTCCTCTATACTTAAGTGCTCCTGTCTGTCCATAAAACTTTGACTTTTACTTAAATGGTTCTTGACTCCTGAATTGGCTGTTCTGAGAGGTTTAGAATAGGCAACAGCTGGAACATTATGCAGACTCCTGGCACTGCAGAGAGTTACTTTTTTGTTTAACTGCATACTTTTCATGTTATGTTTCCCAGTGCCACTGACAGTTACTGTGATGTGAGCCCCAGCTCTCACTCCTCCCCTCCCACTCTACATCACCGAGTAGAAAGGAGGAGAGAATTGGTCCGGTCTCAGACGCTGCCACGGATGACAGGAATGCATGCCAGGAAGGCACTTTTTGAGAAACTTGAACATGATGGTGAAAAGTACGTCAAGCCCTTTGTCTCCAGAATGGGTTGTTAATGGGAAACTAATTAGTCGATTATTACCAGCAGAAGACAACTAGGTAGGAGAACTCCCTTAGTGCAGAATTTTGAGCTAAGGGACAATATGAAATCATGTGTAGCTTCACTGACTTTGCAGACTGAGCCCTTGAAATTCACATCTACAGATTCCTCTGGCTTTGCAGTTGTTCAGCTGAAGAAGCAGGTGCCTATTATCAGGAAAGAGTATGCCTTTGTCATTATAAGAGACTGGGACTGGGAATATCATGACTTTCTGTCACCATTCATTAAGGACCGAAAACATAGACTGTTCTTTATGCACTATGATGGGGTTATTTGACTAGAAGAGGGTTTGGAATCCTGGCTTTAGTGAAATGAAAAATGAGTTTTTCTCGCAGGACCAACAAAGTTTCATCAGCGTGTTTCTCAAATATCACCTGGACAGGGGCTGACTTGGGCAAGGTTGCATAGATGTTGCTGACAAGTAGGTTTAAGTTTTTTTAGAATGTAATTTAATCTGGTCTCTGTTAATTTTCCAGAGGAAAAGGAAAAGGAGAATCCAGAGCTAAGCTGAAGAGGTCGCAGAGTTTTGGGGTTGCCAGCGCTAGCAGCATTAAACAAATTCTGTTAGACTGGTGTCGCTCAAAAACCATAGGATACAAGGTGAAGACCTGCTAGCAATTTCAGCTCTCTTTTTTTCAGGAGATTTTGTCGAAAAAAGTGTACTCAAAAAGTGAATGTAATACATGCTAGACAATTAATTAAATTCCTCAGTGTCACCAGATTTTGTGCGGGTAATGCAAACATCCTGGTTTGCATGGGCAGCACTTCAAGACAGTCAGCGATAGCATGAGTGAGATCGTGTGTGTGTGTCAAAGCAAGGCACCAGTGTTTGTCTGAAAGCCTGCATTTTTGTGCTTATGGACTTAGACTTCAGTATACACCCACACATCTTTTTCTTAGTTGCAGGCTGTGTTTTTTGCATTCTTACATATGGAAAGGTCTGAATAACATTTTTGCAAATACATGTTATTTGTGTATACATGTTATTTGCAGTAACATTTTGCAAATACACTTGATACGCAGCAAACCAAAGTACTCTAGTGGTATTAGACAAGTGAATTTGTAGTAAATGTTTGAGGTTGAATCACACAGTGTTTGTGAGCTAATTTCTATGAGGCAACATCAGGGTAGCTAAAAGAATTCAGTGGCTGAGAATTTAGTAATTTTACCTGGCCTTAAACTCCAATTGCCAAAGCAATTTCCAGAAGAAAGACACTAATTTTGTAGGCTTTTTGTAATGTTTTTCAACATTATTGTAAAATGTGCCTTATTGTTGCTGAACTCCAAATTATAGTAGACATAAGGAGAACTAGTGATAATTACTGCTAGTTGTTTACCAGAAAACCTAGGGCTTGAATTTTATGTGATGGAAAAGCAGCGTGAGACCCAAATATGTTTCCTTTCACTTTGACAAGTGAAAGGAACAATCAGCATTTGTTCTAAGAATTGAGTTTTGCACTAGGCGTAATTCTTCCTATATATCTACATATCTGCATGTAAACAGGCATTGAATTGGGCCTTACTGAAAAGTAAAGCAAGCAAACAGCCTTTATGTAGTGTTTTTCACAGGCACAAAATGAGCTATTCTTCAATTATACATGCCACAGGGATAAGCAGTGTTCCTGGTTTCTGCAGATACTGGTCCATTGGGCCTACTCCACAGCTCACTGATGTTGACAAGATTCTTCCCGGAATTTTCAGTGGGCTTTGTATAAGGGATCTTTACTGTGTGTCTGTTTGGCTTCTGGGCATTTCGGGCAAAAGACTTTCATTGCTGAGTGTACCATTTTTTCTCAGAATACAAATAATGTCATGAATATACAAAGAGATGAAGAAAAGCATAAAGCCTGTGTTCTGTTGCTTTGGTTAGTAAGCGAGAAGGACAAGAAAATGTAGTGAGCAAAACCAGCTGCCTTTCCCTGTTCCTCCCATGCTGCATTAACATGCATTTTTTTTAATCACGACAGCACATTGATCTCCAGAACTTCTCCTCAAGCTGGAATGATGGGATGGCATTCTGTGCTCTTGTGCATTCTTTCTTTCCTGAAGCTTTTGATTATAATAAGCTTGACCCAGCTAATCGCAGGAAGAACTTTGAGCTGGCCTTCACCATGGCTGAGTGAGTATCACGTTAGATCTCTGTGAAGTGCTTCCAGTTCAAGTCTAATGGGGCTGGGCAGCAGTGAAGAGTTTAATCATTCTTCTGGCAGATCCTGTATCACTAGCTTACATATGTCATGCCAAGAACAGATAATAAAGCTCTCTGCATAGAGAGTGCACAGACCAGGAGAATTGGCAGTCTAAAATCAGAGGTGGTTTTACCAGGCACAGGATAATATACTGGAGTCCTGTGTTCAGTTCTTTGACAGTCTTCAGGCAGTACTTGAATTCTGCTTTCTCACAAGCCTTAGTACTGACACACTAAACTTGAGAAATCAGCCTCATGATTGGCTTGGACAGAAGAGGAAAAAAACAACTTCTCTCTGTGTTTGAGGTTTGTTGTTATTCTTTGGGGGGGGGGTGTAGTAATGAATGACTCTTAACGACTTTCCAATATCAATCACAAAAAGGAAATCTGAGTTTCATAGGAACTCGACAAAAAACTGTTCATTTTTTAGCCACTACCACCTGCTTGATACCTGATTTGAATTTGAGGCATGTTAATATATCCATCCATCCTGTCTGGAAAAAAATGTGACTCCTGAATGGCAGGGACTCACTTTTGGAATTGGGTTTTGTGGGAGGCTTCACCTCTGCCTGTAAATTGCCTTGGCTGAACACGAGTGAAAGTCGAATGCAGTGTCAGCAGTGTTTGATTGAGGCTGAGAGCTTCTGAATATCTCAGCCTGCTAACTGCATTTTTGTAAACCAGAGCTAGTGCCTTCAGTCACACTGTCCTGATCCTTTTTGATGCAGTATACCACGCAATTAAATTAAGCTTGTGTGTTAAAGTCATTATCAGTGTGAACTTGTCAGCTAGAAATAGTAACTGTTTTGACCCAGTATCAACATGATTCTTTTTTTTTCCACTTGTGTAATGGTAAGAACACTCTATGTGGCATGCAGCTGCGTTGGGTACACT